CTTTCCCTTGATCTAGGACTAGTGTTAGTCTCACTCTTCCTCATGCTAGTGCAGGGAGTGCAACTAGTAGGAAATGTATTTTCCTCTGGGATAGTTTTTTGCCAGTGCATCTTCCTTTACTTAGAGTGAAGTGGTTTACTGTAGGGACAGAGGAATGCCAGGATCAGCCAAAAAGAATGGATGGGAATGCAAAGTGGCAGGTTTGAGACAGCTTTTCTGGCAGCAGGCAGTCTGGTTAGCAGCTTGGCAAAACATATATTGGAAGGATGTTGGTGTGCAGGTGTTGGGAAGGGTAACAAGCTTTTGCTCTTTCAAACCTTTGCCTTGTACCTTCAGCCTGTCAGTCTCTGCTGTGTAGTTTCCCTGTTTGCTATTTGTGGTGTTTACCTGACCCTCTGCCACGTTGGTAAGTGCAAAAGTCAACCAAAAAGGGGGATTGTGTTGTTGTTGGTTTTTTTCTGCTAGATTGAAGAATGGAATATATTTCTATGCGGTCAGGTGACTTACGGAGCTGATGGAAGGGAGGGAACAAATAGCTAAATACGGGAAGGCAGAGTAAGGGGGTAGGCAGGACTGCCCTCTGTTGGCCGCGGGCTGGTGATCAGATCAGCTGTAATCCGTAGCTTGGTCCCGAATCTCTGCTCTTTCTCCTTTGTGCTACTGCCCTTGGAGATTAGGTACAGTGTGAAATTAACCTGCTGTCACTGCAGTCTCAGTAGAAACCATTCCCTCAGTCCTATCTACAAGCATAATCAGTCACCTTAGATGACTAATCTGCTCTTTTCCTGTCTTGTAAATTATTGGGGGGTTTCTGGATCACCAAGGTGAGCCAATTTGTGTGTCCTTTGTTGTTGTTACTAAATCCAGTGCAAGGAATGTCAAGATGAAATGCACAGGCTGAGCAGACCCATCCCTTTCAGGGACTTCCTGCAGTTAAACTGTGTTGTATATCATTTGAAACTGCATCTAGGGTATCTCACTTTGACAAATCACAATTTATGACTTTATTGTCAGCTGAAGTGTTTAAGCAGGGATTCCTTTGGGGAAAGTTGAAAGACTCTGAATGATTGATGATTGTTTCTTCTTTTTAAACAAGTACTGTTGAAGTTCTCTTCAGAGCTGGGGGACTCTTTAAGATTCTTATTTCATGTTGATGAATAAGATACATGTCTTGTGGGTTTTTTAAAAAAAACACAAAAGGTAAATGTGCATTTGATGATGTGCTTTATACTGGAGCATAGGAAGTGGTTTGTTTTGCTAGTGCTTAAGTACAGATGCTATCACTAATGTTTTAAATGGGGAAACAGTCTGTCTTCAGTCCAGAAACAATAATGCTCACTGTCAGTCTTGCCTGCTTTGTACTGTTGTCTTTCCTCCCACTTCAGAAATCTGGACTAATTGGAACACAGGTGAAGCCAAGGTGCTGCTTTGTGGATCATAACAAGTTTTAAAGAATATTCAAGATAGTGAAAAAAACTTTAAAATATTTTTTGAAGTGGGCTGTGAGAAAGCTAGTGTTACAAAAATGATTCCATAGGATTTGTCATAGAGCTGCCTTATTGCCATGGAAGTCTGATTATTTCATCATTACGGGATATGGGGTTTGGTTTTTTTTCTTGAGTTTGATTGTATGTTCATGTAGTTTTTGAAGTGTCAGTTCTTAGTTATGCCATTCCTCATCTTAATTTGCATTAATAAAAAATGTCATGTATTTATAAGATTATGTTTTGAAATAAGATCTTAGATATTTTTTTCATGGTGCCTGCACTGGCAGCCATGTTATATTGTGATGCTGTGTCTGCTGTGTAGTCTGTACCTGCAACTCATCAGCTGGCAGCTGTGAGCACCACGTACAGTGAGCAACCTCAGGAAGACTTAACTGACTTTTGTTCAGCTCAAACAGCCAAGGTCCAAAAGAGTTTGGAATTTAGTTTGATAAGGCAATGACGAAGTTTTTGTCAGCAGTGCTTGAAAAATAAGTCAAGGCAGTGTAATTTGTACCCAAATTTGAAATATGACATGATGTACTTCTCTTTCACATAAGATTTTTCAAGGGTTTGAGAGATGTGTAGTGTCAGGGATCTTTTATATTTGGTATTCTTTATTACAAAATGTTCTTTCTACTTCTAATCTTCAATATAGTCTCAATAAAAGTAACCATCTGCTTAGTAATTGGAGAGTACAGCTTGTGTGAAGATGGTCTTGCTACTAGTGCCAGAAAATTGTTAGAACAAAAGGCTCACCAGTGATAAAACGGGGTTTTGGGATTTCCCAGTGCTTTTCCTTTCCTGTAGAGAATCATTTAAGTCAGAAGCCCACCCAGTGTTTTACTTTCTAGTACAACTGCTGAGTCATGTCTGAGAGTGATCTCAACATTTTTTTCATCCACTTCAGTATTTTGTGATAATACAGAGAATAGTCTGAAAGCTACAGACCACATAAAGATGCTTCTCTGTAATGCTTTTGCTATTCATAGTGTACTCCATACTTAGCATTTCCTATTCCCTCTGCCTGCTGGAGGAAGGTTGAGGGAGGAAGCAAGCTGTCCAGGATAATGGAAACACTGAGGTAACATATGTACTACAGATTGTACAGTACGTGTTGGACAGTGTGGTATGTTGGAGACCTGGCCAGCTCTGTTGGATCAGCCTGGACCCTCTGGACTTTATTAGCTCTTGGCTCAGGGCTAGTGCCAGTTCTTGGCTGGTTCCTGGGGAGCCATTCAAAGCCTGCATGAGTTTGCTGGCATGTGTGCAGTGCTGGACCTGAGCTGCATGTCTGCATGGCTCTGTGTCTTGACCTATTGATTTGCTGAAGTGCACAAGAGAGTTTGCTGGGTGAATTTAGGTATAGCTGCATTCAGCTTAACAACAGATAATAAATCCTTGCTGATCCAAAGGTCTCTGATGTGTCTGTAGTGCCCATGCTGTGTACTTGGCTTGAGAATGCCCAGTCTGGGTTTGCACAGAGCTGACTCAAGTCCATGAATCTCATTTACTTGCAGCAGCAGTGTCACTTTTGGGATGAATAAGTTTTTGGGTGAAGAACACCCTGAAAGCTATGTCAGAGTATTCTTGTGACACTGTTCCTGACTTAGGAGTTCTGATAGACCTGAGCTTGTTTTAGAATCAGGTTTTGTGGATTAGTATAATTAATCTACCTTAATATTTGTGGCTTTATAGCTTCTTAAGCTAGGTGAGTCATTATTGACTAAATGAGATTGTAAATCACTCATGAAATAATGCTTCATGAGCATCACACAAGTCCTGTTATCAGAATTGTGTACAGTGAGAGCTCACCAAATCACACAAGTATCAGAATTGTGTACAGTGAGAGCTCACCAAGGAAAACTGCTTTTTTTGCAAAGTTTATTTGAACAGAGTTTTATAAAATTGTATTGCAATTTAAAATAAAACCCTGACTATGTTACTTGCAGGCTTGGTAGCATGTGACTTTACATAGCCACTGTTCTTTTACTTACTGGAAGTTTTGCCTCTTTTTCTTTTTCCTTTTTCTTTTTCCTTTTTTTTTTTTTTTTTTTT